CACCCCAAAAAAGAAAAAAAGTAGGAAACCAGTATGCTCTGATCTGCATTCAGACTCCATCCGTTCTTTCTCTGACAGTGGATAGCATTTTTCATCATAGGTTCTTCAGAATTGTCTCACAGTAAATCTTGCCTGATCTACATTGGTGATAGGAATATCCACACTAGGAGTTTCCCTCAAGCTAATTAAATTAGAAGAGCAAAACTTGAACTAGGTGATCTCTAAGGTGCCTATAAGCTCTTACCACTATTATTTCATGCATAGTGCATTATCTTGGTTATAGAAAAGATAAAACTCAAGCAGTAAAAATTAGGAGAAAAAAAAACAGAATTCCTGTTAGTCCCTTCTCTTCTGTGTTATCAAACTGTCATAAATTAGCACGATTATGAATATGGAAAAAATGTAGGAATACCAAACATTCCTTATATATTTCATATTTCTTAGAAATACTACAGTATATCAGTAAACATGATTTAATAGTAAATCATTTTACTAAATTAAAACTAGAAATCATGTACAAATCACATATTACAATAAAAACCTGAGGAAAAATACTCTGGGACAGTAATTTTAAATATTCACAATCTTTTTAATTTCAGGTCGTTTGCAGGAACTCATTTCAGAATGTAAGAAAGCCTGATATCACCAGGGTGGAACTTTTAAAAGATGTCCAGAACAAAAAGGACCTTATTATTCGTCTAGTTGCCCATGATATTGATGAAGACGCAGACAATAGGAAGGATGGTGGCATAATCTCTGACGAGGAAGATTCTGGTTTCAGAGAAGTTGTTTTAAAAGAAGAGTGTGCCCTTGGGCTAATGGATATGTCTATAATGGATGAGGAAGAAGAGGAAGTCCCAGAAAGTAAAGTCAATTTACCCAAGTCTTCACTGAGCTCCAGTAGCCTGAAGAAACTATTGTCCATAAGCAAGTGTTGTCAAGCTACTTCTACTACCACACCAGAAAGGATTGAAACCTCTCCAAGTCAAATCAAGGAACCAGAAGCATCCTTGTCAAAGATCGAGTCTTCTGACTTAGAAGAAAAGCCACAGTCCTTGGTAAGTGACAAACGTGACCAAAGGTTACTTTGGCTCTCTTATAATAGTGGTTAGTTCTTTGATTCTGCAGAACTTAAACCTCTCAATCCTACGAGGGGCGCCTTTGAATTGGCAGAAAAAGTTAATATGTTCCTGGGCAGCCTCCCCCTGACTTATGAATTCCAAGGTTCCTTCCATGTCTGAAATTCAGTGATTTCACAGTGTCACCACAGTGCCAATTCTATGACCATCTTGTAAATAATTCCTTCACTAAATCCTCCTCTGATGCCTCATTGGGACATGAAGGTGCAAGCCCAGTGACAGGGAGTGTCTGTTGTCTGGAGGCCTAGTTCAGATAATTCCTAGAGACTCAGAGTCAGGATGGCCACAGAGGGATGAAATTTTAGCCAAAGCTTCACCCAGAGACATTGAAATCTGTCAGCAAAAGGAGCTCCTTACCCTTACTCCCAACAAAATGCTATATCCCTGAAGTAGTGAAGTATGCTGTAGATGCTTAAAAGATGAAGCAACACTGACCTTAGCTGGGGAGAAAGAAACATGGAAATCGAGGTCTTGAGAAGCGACAGTAGGATATAGTAGATAGAGCACTAAACTTGGAGTTAGGACGATGTGGGTTTAAATCCTGTCTCCCAGATTTCACTTCTCCATCCTTCAGTTTCCTCCTCTGTAAAATAAGAAGGTTGGACTCAGTGACCTCTTGGGTCCCTTCCAGCTCTAAAGCTATAGTCCTGTGATGATCCTAAGAAGCATTAGAAAAATAGAAAATGGGGTTCCCCAAGCCAAGTGCAAAAAAATCATATCCAAGAGGGCTTCCAACACACTATGTGGTCTCTACTCTGGAGTTGTAGAGTGCTGAGAGTTTTCTGGACAGGAATGCCATGACTGCAAGACAGAGCCGAGAGGGTTGAGATCAATCTAGCTAAGCCCCGCTCCAATCTGAGGCCCCAGACCATTCGTTCTTTTTCCTCATTGTCTTGCCCTCCTCATGCAGGGTTTATTTTGGTGTCTCATGCTTTTACCTTTTCTACACTGTCCTCATCACCCATTCACATGACCCAATAACACTGGATGTGTTCCGTAGTGCTAGAGTTACATGGGTAGTTAAGGGTATTTCTATGATAGATTTTTTTAGACTTGCTTAAAACTGTGCTTTGATGCTTTTCTTGTACTTTTTTTTCAGCAAGAAGAATCGAAAACCATTGTTGCAGAGCCTCCACATTATCTGACACACAGAACTATGAGCTCATGCTCATACAACCAAGAGATGCTTTCCGAAGGGTATGGTTTGGTGGTGTTTTGGGTTTTTTTTACAAATAAGTTTATTTTTACCTCCTGTGACAAGCACAAGTGTTCTAATGTGTAAATAGCAGCATAAGAAAAATATATTAGAAGAGCAAGCAGAAGGGAGCTCCCAGAAAAGATTGTAAATGATCACCCTAACGTCCTTTACCTTTTGTTCTTTAGCCTTTATTAAGCTCACATTGAAAGATATCCACATTGCCTTTAGCTCTGTAGTGACCAAATCATCTTACACGTTTCTGTGACCCCTTTTGAGCATCATTTCTTTTTCTTAGGAATTTGTTGCTTATTGTTGTCTCTAACTACACAGTTGTAGTCAGTGTGTACATTGTTCTATTCTTCAGCCGGCATCACTTTATACCTTCCCATGTGAAAGCAATATGAAATAAGACTTGGAAATATGTTGAAGTTAGATTATGGAAGGCTTTACCTTTCAGGCTTTGTATTTTATTCTAGAGGCTAGAGGAAATCACTGAAGGCCTTTGAGCTGGGCAGTGACATGAGAAGACTGCTTTAACTCCAACTCAGAATCTTTTTTTTTTTTGAGACATTGGGGGTTAAGTGATTTGCCCAGGGTCATAGAGCTAGCTAGTAAGTGTCTGAGGTCACATTTGAACTCAGGTCCTCCTGATTCCTAGCCGGTGCTCTATCCACTGTGCCACCTAATTGCCCCAATCTTTTGTTTTCTGTCATTCAACCACTGAACCTATCACTCTTCCATCTAGGACTATATTTTGGCCATATTTTAGTAGTTTACTGTTTTTATTGTGTTTCTGTAAAGGTAGCAGAATTTGTTTTCTGAATTTATTTGTAAGTTTTTTAATACCCAAATGTGGACTGTTTTGGAAAACATTCCATGAAGGTTTGGATAACTAAATTTACTTACCTAACTTGTCACACTAATTTTTCCAGAATCCTATTCATGTCTATAATTCCTTTCCTGTTTATTAGTTACCTTCTTTAAAAATGCAGTTGCTACGCTGTTAGGTGGATAATATTGGTATACTTATGAATGGTGCATTTAAGCATGATGCAGTACCCATGTTTATCTCATAATGCTTTGTAATTTGAATTCAGCCTTATCATGACTCTAGGTTCTGATTTTCTGGAATTAACAGAAGCACTTTTTGGGGCCAGGTCTGTGATTTCTCCAACCCCTGTTTGAGAGCTAACAGTAGCTAGGGAAACTCCATTAATGCAGAGGAGCAACTGCTCTGCCATTTATAATCTCAGAGGGTTGTCTGGGGGCCCTGAAAGATTAGGGACTATTCCTCCAGGGTCATACTGCTAGTATGTGTCAAAGACAGGACTTACCTGAAGCATATAGTAAATCTTATTCCAATTTTTCATTTTAAACCTGTGTCTTTGGGTGTTGGGTGTGTTTCTCAAATGCAACATAAGGTTGTCTTGTGTTTTTTTTTAATCAATTGTGTAACCCTGTTCTATTTAATAGCAGCAGTCAATCCATTTATTGTCAAAGTTATAATTGCTAAATATGATACTGTCATACCGTGCTAAATTAAGTTTTTATCAGTAAGGATGGTGCTCTACCTTCATTCACTAGAATTAATCCAAAACCTGTCTTACACTTATGCATGGGAGAACACACTCACTCATCACCAAAGATGGATCCTAAATTCCTACTATTCCCTCTCAAAGTTTTTCAGTGGTTTAAATCTTCCCTCTTTCCCCCCTTTCCTAAATGGAAGTGCCACTTTGGGATCATCTGTTCTTCCTTCTCCCTCAATTATCCATTTTTTGGTAATACCTGCAATAAAAGAATTACATCTTCTCACTCCTCCTTGCCTTTTACTTTGCTGTCATTGGGAATTCTGTTATAATGTATGTATATATTTTTATATACATATACATATATAGATAGATACATGTGCATATGCATACATGCATATTTCCACATATGTATATGTGAGTTCATCTATCCATCCACACATTCACATACCTATACATTTCATTTACTCTTTCTCCCACCCCCACTCCTAGCCTGTTTGGGCCTTTAGTTGTCAATCAAGACAACCTGGCTGTTATTTGTTCGTTGAGCCAAAGCTACTGTTGCCTCTATAGTGATGAAAGTGGAAGAAGACTCAATTTTACTATCTATCATTCTCTCAAGTTTGTCTCCTTCTACCCTGAGACAACTACAGATCGTATCATTCCCTACCCTTTGTGTCTTGCTAACCCTGAATAATATTTAAATCTAAACCCCATTTTTAGCAAGCCCACGGTGAGGTTCATAATTGATTTGCACATCAAAGGTCCTAGCTAAGCCTGGCCTCCTTTACCAGTAGAAGTTTTTGGTTGATCTGCATATCAAAGTTCTCATTGTGGCTTACTTTTGCCAGTAATTTTTTTTATCATGGAGGAATAATTGGTGTTCTTTGATAAGTGATGTTTTTCATCTTATCTGCTTATAAAAATCTTCTCTTGGTCAGGGTAGCCCTAGTGTTTGACATCAGTGTGTTTGGGTGAGTTGAATCTGGCATTCTTTTCTGTTGGTGTCTCATGCATTGCCTATTTATAGCCTGTCCTTTGATCTTCCCATAATTCTGGACATTTTTCTTGTATTATTTCAGCCTGCCAGTAGTCAGTGAAACATTTATTAAGTGCGGTCTATGTGCCAGGCACTGTACTAAGAAAAAAACCAAACCGTCCTTTCAAGGAGCTTACAATCTAATGGAGGAAGACAACACACAAAATAAGCCAGAAAGCAAGGTGGGGAGGGTAGCCAGGGAAGGTACCCCATGGAGAGGCACAGCAGAAAAACCAGAGAAGTCCCCGAGTAGTGCAGCTAGGTGAGAAATGATTTCCTGAAATATGCTGTCCAGACTCTTCCTTTGTTCACATTTTTGAGGATGTGTGGTGGTTCAGCAGTTGCCTCTCCGCAGCCGGTCATCTTTACTCCACCATCTTTACTCCTGGTGACTTTCCATCACGTTTTGCAGCCTTTTTGTCTTTCAGTAGAACAATTTGATTTCTCATTTACTCCTGATTTCTGTCTCAGTTTTCCACAGGCCTCTCCATCTTTATTTTCATTATCATTCTATCTTGTTCCCCTTTTTTGGGGGGGGGTACCTAATGACAGGTCTCACCAGTTCCATATTTCCCTGTAAGTGTTTATTATTGAATTTGATGAGTCTTGTGAAAGTTCTGGATTCATTTCTGGGACTATTGTTGGTGCTAGTTCATTCTTTTTTCCTTCTGGTACCTTTTCTTTGAATTCTTTCAATACAGAAAATATATTCATCACGTTTTTCAGTGTTATTTGGCCTGCTTGCTCATTTCCTTAACCATTCCTTTGCCCTTTCTGAGAGGCTATTATCTTTTCAGGATCTTTGATGGTCTCTTCTTCCTACCTCTTCTCCCTCCCCTTTTAGCTATTTTTATATATTTCTGCCTCTGTTCTTCTGGAGGGTACTGGGGACCTGGGCTTTCTAATACCATCTTTCTGAAAAGGTAGAAACTTTCAGTTATACCAATATTTAAGTAGGAAACTAAGTGAACTGAAGAATCATTTAGTGGGAAAAGCACAGGCTTTGGAGAGAAAGGAAGTGGATTTGATTCGTGCTTCTGCTATTTACTGGGTGGCACTGGTCAACTTTGCTTCACTCTCTGGGCTTCTTCCTCCTCTGTAAAATGGAGGGACAGATGATGATCTCGATAGATGATCTCAAAAGCTCCTTCAAGCTCTAAATGCTCTGATCCAATTTTTATGTCCTCAACAACACTACAAAGTGGACAAAATTTTGTACCCTGTCCTCTCAAGCACCGGGAGCGTTGTGGTACACCTTGGCTACCCAAAACCTTCCCCCCGACTGGTTTCCTTTCCCATTATGCCCCAGCTTGTAGATCTTTCCCTCCTGCTAGGCCTGTCATTAGCAGCAAGCCCTAAGAGCACCCACAGCACCTTCTGGGAGTGAGAGAACATGCTTCACTCACCACTTCCTCCCCTGCTAGGCTCCACCCTCCATTCCCTACAGGGATGCAGCCCATGAGCTGAGGTTTCCTTCCTCCCTTCCACTCGGCGGCTGCACCCCAGGTGACTAGCCCCTCCTGCTTGCCCCAAGTGCTAAATGCCAAGCCACCCCAATGGTTAGCAGCTAGGACTAGTCAGTAATGATAATAGTCAGTACTCTGAAATTGGCAGCAATGGAGGTGAGAGAGGATGCAGATAAATCTAAACCAAGGTTAATCCAGATATCACTGTACTTCAGTTCTACCCCATTCTGCTTGGCTTGGGACCTGAAAGGGACCCATTTTCGTCATGCTCTGACTGTATCAATACTTGACAAGTTGCTCTTTTAACTAACATGTAATTCCTTCCTTTACTGACTAAACAGAAACTGAAACATTCTCTCTCTTTTTTTTTTTCCCAGCAGAGACGGCACAGGGTCGGGCAAGAAAACAACTGACGGTTTGATTACTTTTCTTTTTTTTTTTTGAGTTAGAGCATATTTAAGAAACATTGGTCACTGCTTTGATACCTTTTAAATTTGAAGTTACTAAATAATACTAATAATATACATAAAATATTTCAAAACACACATGATTTTATCTTTATCAGTCCTCCCTCCATGCCTTAGTATACTGTCTTCGTGATTTGTTATGGCTGAAAACATTTACTGCTCCAAGGTCAAGTTTCTAATGAGAAGGTTTCTCATATCCTCAGCTAGGGTAGGCCTTGGAGGTCAGAATCTGTTACTAGGCCTGTCTTTGAAGCCCAACAGCCAAGTATCACTTTCATGTTAAGCTAAAGCATCGGGGGAAGACTTCAGGAGAGGAATACTTATAGGAACTCATGTTTATATAGCACTTGAATGTCTATAACCAAGCACCTTACAAGGAAGGTGGTACATTCATGATGATTCTCCTTTTGGAGATGAGGAAACAAAGCCCCAGAGAAGGGAAGGGACTTGTCCAAGGTCACTCAGGTAGGAAGGAAAGTGTTGAAGCCATGTCCAGTAGGGGAGCTTTTGAACCTTCCACTCAACTCGCCTCTTAAGGCTGCCAGAGTAGAAATCCTCAGGATTATGCCACCAGTTTATTTGCCTTTCCAGGAGTGAATAATTTACACACACAACTCATAGTCAACACAGCAATGGCTTATCTGTCTGAACCATTATTATAACATGCTAAATGGTGCCATAGTTTGACTCTACAACAACTATGCTCTCATGACAAATATTTGACTATTCCAATTCTTGAATGGAAATATCGGAATTATCAATGCTAGCCTGAGGGTTGCATTGGTTCCCAAAGAAATGTAAAAAATCCTAGAGTTAAGAAGGCCCCTGGCATGATAGGTACCTCCTCTGGGGATGAGCCATGGGAGGACATGGACAAGAATGGCCCAGGTTGTACAGGTGAGGCTGGATTAAGATCTGCATTAATGAAGGGAACACATCTGTTGATAAGATCACAGATCCATTGAAAAAGGAGAGAATCAAACATTCAAAGGAGAAGAGTTTGTCACACGTAGACTGGCCAACACAAATGGTGTGGACTTGGAGGCAAGGGAGAAGTAAGGATGTGGGTACAGGCCACGGAAAAATATGTGCAGTCGGAAGCAGCTAAAGTAGCCAAAAATCAGTAACTGGGGAGGCAGGAGATGAAGCAAGACAGCTGACCTCTCTTTTCAATGACCCTTCCCTATCCTGCCAGACTGGCTGTCTATCCCCGATAACCCAGATTTCAGTGCTTCAGTTTCCTCATCTACAGAAGTTGTATGCAAATATGTTGTGAGCACTCAGAAAACCCTAAAGCATGGGAGTGAACCTAGAACCCCCGGGGGTAAGGTTTCTCACTGGCAACCACAGGTTAAGCTGCTGAAATGCATAAGTAGGTTCTGTGAGCTAAAGGCAAGGTAGGCTCTCATGGATTTGCCTATCTCACACCTGAGACATAAGAGTAAGTCCAGGTTTATCTTTGATGTCCAATTCCAGTAAAAGAATGTGAGTTTAAAGTGCTGCCACGTTTTCCTAGTTGAAACTTCCTAGAAACCTGTTCTATATGAGAGGGGTGTGGAGAGGGGGAAGGGAGAGAGTGAGGAAAGGGAAGGTGGGGGAGGGAGGGAAGAGAGAGCAAATGAGTATACTAGCATAGACTTAGGAGTGGAATGGAAACTCCTGAGGGGGATGTAGGGCTCAAGCCACAGTACTTGAGTTTAGCCAACACTTTCCAATGCCGTGACTCATTTAAAGTAGTTGCAAAAGTTGAGCCACAGTGCCCAAGGAAGACTGTCCATCTCCATGTTTCACTGCCAGCCCCTCACCAAAAATAACAGCCTGCAATCCGAGGAGAACATGAAGTACACATGCATGTTCCCTGCATTCTAGAGTTAAACTGAAGGCCAACCCCACCCTCTCCATTTTACAGATGGGTCAGAGAAGGGAAGTAACTCTCCCAAGGCCCTGCAGAATTCCTGGCAGAGCCAGCCCTGAATCTAATCTACTGCACTTTAATGCTATACCGTGCTCCATCTTTCATAATCTCTCTGAAGGGAGCCAGGGCCAGCCCCCAGCATTATCAAGGACCACATCTCTTCAGGCTTCAGCTTTACTATGGCAAGATTCCAATTTAACTGATGTAAGCACCCACTAATTCTGGTCATGGGATGTTGGGCAAGTTATTGAGACCAAGTGTGATAGAAATTTGCCCTCTTTTATAAATGACCACTTTTCAGGCAGGGATCTTAGACTTTCACAACTTTGTGTTTTGCTCACAGTGTATCTGGAAGAGGCCAAGACACTAGATGAAACAAGCAGCCTTCAGGTATGCATTTCAAAGTCACCCCTTAGAGTGGAGGGTGAGTTGAGACCCAAACAGTAGAACTGGTCTAGAGTGACCACATCCAATATGACTTGGAGGTCACTGAGAAGAGCCTTCCTCTGGCCCCTTCCTAGCTCCCCCATGCCCTGAAAGTCCATGAAGGCCAAATGATGTCCCCTGAAGAGAGACAGTCTGTTAATAAGAGCTCCCATTTCTCCAGCCATGGTCCTCACAGCAGCACCAGGCAAGTGTTAAGATTCCAGTTTGAAGAAACAAACTAAAAGAAAAGACCTGATGATGGTCATTGTTGAAATTGGAATTCAGTCCCCAGACACTCTGGGCCTTGCTTCTCCCATCCATACATGCCAACGTGATCTGATTATTTTTGCCACAAAGACTGCACAGCTTCCTTCCTTTCTTTCTTTTTTTTTTTTTTTTGGTGTTTAAAAAGTTTAATCTTTTTTTCAATTGATGAGGTTTTATTTTCTTTCCCTCCTCTCATTGGAAAAAAAGGAAAGAAAAGAAAAAAACAAAACCCTTGTGACAAATTTGCCAAAACAAGCAAAACAAATTCCCCATATTGGCCATTTCCAAAAAATGTCTGTCTCATCCTGCACCCTGAGTCCATCCCCACTCTGTCAAAGTAGGTGGCCTACTTCATCCTGTGTTCTCTGGAATCATGGTTGCTCATCCATTGCATTGCTCCAAGTTCTTAAAGCTTCCAAAGGAATTTGTCTTTACAACTACTGTATAAATAGTTCTCTTCGGTTTTCCCATTCAGTGCCATGACCCCACTTAAGGCACCCAGTGCTCTCCCCTCTATTAAAACCTGCTTGGGAAAGGAACTACTGTCACTGACTCCTTCCTGTAAATGAGAGGAAGGTATTGCTTCTCCCAAAGGAATTTCCATTTGAACTGTATTTACAGTTGGGGAATAAAATGCTTTACCCTCCTAGCAAAGGAATTTCAAGCATCACTGAATGAAGGAGGGGGGCATTTGAGTCCCTTCCTGAGCATGTAAGCTAAAATATTTGCAGGTAAGGCTAGCCCTAGCTACCACCTTTGGATAAGGGCTTTCTAAACACCAAATGTAGTGATGGATGCTATGTCTTTGTTCCATGGCTCTGTTAAAAAGACATTCTCAGAGATCCTCTGGTAGCACCATTAGGAAGGCAGAGCAATTGACCAATGGGGCAAAAGAAAAGGGGCTGCTGCCAAGCAGTGCTGAGGACACCAGGCCCTTTCTCCTCTAGCCAGTTAATAAAAGCAGAGCTGGCCTTCACACTACAGATCTGTGTCTGTGTGTACACAGTCTGCTTACTGGGTAGTTTGGTTCCTTTTCTGTTGTGTGTGTTGGCGTGTGCAGGGTAGGTTGTACTGCAAACTGCTTGAGGTCTTAAGGCACAAACTACCTAAAGGGCTAGGGCACGGATTGTCGACATTGGGTCACAGGGACAGTAGTGGCTGTGTCCTTGACAACTCCTTCTGAGCCCTTCCCTGGTTTCTATAGAAGGCCCATGGTAGAGGTGACAGGGCTCTAACATCCTGTACTAGAGAAGAAGTTGATGTTTTCTTTTTCTCTCTTATCTTGGTGCAGTTTATCACCATCTACGAAGACCCTAAATCATCTGCGCAGACCCCCAAGGAGGGTACACCAAGTATGTGACACGCTCTTCAAATATTAGCTTTATTAGCTTAAGTTCCCACTTTGGTCCCTGTGAATTGAAGATTGTGATCATTTCTCTTCCCCAGTTTCTGCCCCCCAGCCCCAAGAAGTGGGCCCCAAACTGGCAGAAACCTTCAATTTTGTCATTGTGTGTCCCACCAGATAACTAAACTGCCATGGTCTCTCTCCAATTTAGGCTTTTCTCTAATTCAGACAGGGCTTCCCTTCTCCCATTCCAAAATGGATCATGGGATTTCGATCTTGGAGCCCATCTAGTTTAAATTTCTCATTTCACAGAAGAAGAAACTGAAGCCCAGAAAAGGGAAGTGACTTGCCCAAGGTCACACAGCTAATACTTAGAAATGAGATAGGAACCCAGGTCCTTGGAGTCCCAAAATCCAGGGCACTGGATGCCACTACTCCTTTGAATGGTTTTACTTGCTATTATAGAAGATTAGCTGTGTAGCCAGGGCTGGGGTTTTGTGTCCAAGGCTTTCTTATCAACTGTACCACACTGCCTAGAGAGAGGTTAAAATTGTCAATCAAATGAATTATTGAATAAGCCAATATTGCTCTAATCCATTATAAATCACCCACCACCTAGTGCAATTAAGATGCTCAAGACATTTCAAACCAACAAAGCAGACCCACTGCCCAGAAATTACACTGATTTTACAAGATAAAGCCAGTATCACAGCCTATTCAAAGAAACTAGATACAACTCAGGCACTGAAGTCTTCAACACGAGACACAGAGCTTGTCTCTTTTTCTCATGTTTTCATTCACTCTCCTTCATACATATATGTGTGTGTGTGTATACACGTATACACATATGTATCTGTTTCTATGTAATAAATCTCTCTCGTGTTGTCTACTCTCACCTTTCTGATTTTCTGTTTCACTCTCTCCTCCGGCACCTGCCCCTTAGAGAGGCAGTGTGGTATAGTAGATAGTGCTAGACCTGTAGTCAGGAAAACCTGGGTTCAAATTTCACCTTTGATATTTACTAGCTGGCTGACTGTGGACAAATCAGAGGGAGGGTCTTTGTTCTGGCCTGAAGGAGGTCTCCCCCTCTGGGATCTGTGGCCATCTCCACTGCCACCACACCATGATGACTGGTGACAGCCATCTGTAGGTGAGAGGAAGGGCCTTGGCTTGAGTAACTCTTTGAAGAGGGGAGAGAGAAGAGAGGTGGGGGAGGGAGGGGGAGAAGGAGAAGGAGAGGGAGAGAGAGAGAATACGTATATGTTGGGGGGAAGAGAGGTGAGAGTCATCTGGATAGGAAGGATTCCCCTGATCCATATCCCCACTATTTCATTTTTCATGGTGGTTTTGTTTTGAAAGTCAACTTAATTTTTAGTAGAATCAAGTTTAGAAAAACAGATGCCCTTATAATCTTGTATTTTCACATAGTCTTAAAGGATTAAAGATAATAGACTTGAAAATAGTCCAGACCCCTTCATTTTAGAGAGGCCACCAAGACCCTGAGAGGAAAAGGGACTTAGCCAAGAATACCAAAGTAGTTGACAGCAGAGCCAGACTTTATCCCAGGTCCCCTTGGCTCTAAATTCTACTCAGACTAGACAGGGCCCAGGCCAGGCATCTCCAAGGTGTCTGCCTTTACCCCATCTTATCCCCATCTCATCCCTGCCCCAGACTAGGGGAGGGATGTTGTCCCAGCACATAGCAAAAAAAGGCAGCTGGGCAGCAGGCCTGTTTGCTCACTTTTAGCAGGCTCCTGGAAGCCTGAGTGAGAACTGCTGACTCAGGCACTCATTGATCAAGGAAAACACAATTGTTTTCCCAAGTTATTGGGACCATACCTATTGAGGACCTTCCGAAGAACCAGTGTCTCCGTGATGATATAACACAGTACTGGTGTAGGGGAAAGACACTGGACTTGGAGCCTGAGGAGCTCGGTTTGAAGACTAGCTCTGCTACTTAATCCCTGCATCAAATCCCTTCCCATTCGAGATCCTAGGAGCCTCCAGCCTGACATGAGGCATCCTTGTTGCAACTGGGAAGTTAGCATTTTAAGGTACTTGCTCTAAGAGGCAGAAGAAAGCCCAGTTCCAACAAAGGCCCAGAGGCATTCCACTTCCCAGGCAGCATTCACAGAAAAGTGGAAGCATATGAAGCTCAGGCAGCCTAGAGGGGGAAGGATGGCCCTTTGGCCCTTGCGGGGTTGGGGAAGGGCACAGAGAGTTGAAGCATAGACATAGAGTGTGTATGATATGAGGTGACAAAGGAGAGCTCTAGGCAAAGGGTGCTAGGAAAAGGGAGAAAAACACGTCAGCTCCATCAATCATACCCCAAGCACTTATTGTCCATCTGGGCAAAGACAACAACAATCCTTATTCCCAAGGAGCTTCCAACCTCACAGGCAAAACAAGTAGATAACTATACCCAGCATCAATATACCAAAAAGACAAGCAGTTAAAGATGGGAAGTGGGGTGGAGGTGGAGAGACAGATCAGGAAAGGCTTCATGCAGAAGATGGTGCCTGAGCTGCGCCTAAATGGAAAAGAGGAACTCAGTGAAGTGGAATGGAGGACAGAGTGCATTCCAGGCATGGAATGTTGTTGGTGAGGAACAGAAAGGACAACAGTTTGGCTGGAAAGCTAGGCTGGAGGCAGATCGGGTAGGTCTTTAAAAGCTAAACAGAGTTCATATTTTCTACCAGAGGCAATAGGGAACCCCCTGGAATTGGGCGAGTAAAAGAGTCAAATGGTTATATATGGGCTTGGCAGCAGCAGCATATAAAATGGACTGAAGTGGGGAGAGACTTGAGGCAGGGAGACCACCGTGAAGGCTGTTGCAACAATCTAGGTGAGAGGTGATGAGGGCCAGCTGAGAGATGTTATAAACGTAGGGATAGGAGGTGGGGTGACAGAGTGAGAAGCTAAGGATCACACAAAGACTGAACCTGAGAAACCTATGAACTGGTATTTCGCCAGAAATAGGGTAGTCTAGAAGAGAGAAGGTTTGGGAGGAAAGAGAATTAGTTTGAGAATGAATGAATAGAAAGATTTCCAGGTGATGAGGTAGGAGTGTATTCTAGGTCTGTAAGAATATATGGAGGCAGGAAGTGGAATATCCAGACTGGGGAAGAGTTCAGTTAGTACAGTTTGAGAAAAACAGGAAACTGTGTGAAGAGGAGATGCACAAAATAAAGGTGGAATGCCAGGTTCAGGAATTTGTATTTCATCCTAGACTAGGCAAACAAGGAGCCACTGAAAGTTGTTGAGCAGAGGAGTAACATGGCCAAGCCTATGGTTCAGACAGATTACTCGGGCAGCTGTGTGAAGGATGGATTGGAGAGAGGCAAAAAGAGCAGTTACAAGGACCTCAACTAGGTCTGTGGCAGTGGGAATGGAGAGGAAGGGATGGATAGGACAAATACTGTGAAGGTAGCATGGCAACTGATTTGTACTGGGAGGGCGGGGAATCCAGCATGACTCCCTGGTTTCAAGCCTGTGTGACTAACAGAAGTTGGGAAGCTGGACCAAAGAGCACGTGTGGATAGAGATGGATTCCTTTTTGGAGACTTGTGAGTTTGAGGGGCTAGAGAAGGCAGGCCATGGGAGTAGGAGTCCAATTTGGCCTGGGATTAGGATGTATGGAGAGACATGTGTAAAATAAGGCCAGAGAAGTAAAGTGACAAAAGACTGTGGAATGCTAATGCTAATCCTTAAGCTGCCTCCTTGTCAGGCTTATCTTAAAGCTCACATAAGGAAACCTCTGAACATGCTTCATAAAACATGAAGCCCTAGAGAAAAGAGATGACAAAGTAAGAGGAGGGAGATAAGAGTATGAGCTTTCCATCTGCTTAAGCCAGGTTTAAGCAGCCCAAGGCCTAGCTTTGCACACAGAGGAGTTAAAAAGGGTACGAGCGCTCTAACCCAGCTATTTACTTGCTGTCTGTCTACAGGAATTCCTAGGGCCCAAGCTTTCAAACAGTCTTTCAAAGCGCTTGAGAAGGTGTCTTCAGCTCTGTCAAGGGTGTTTTCTCGACCAAGCACTACTACTGACATTGCAGCAACATCAACTAAACAGGAGGACAAGCCTTGAAAATGCTCTGCACACCTAATGTCAAAGAAAATTAAATGTATTTAAAAGCAGTCTGAGTGTGGCAAAGGAGTGGACTGATAAACTAGAGAAGCAGAAGCTTGCAAGGTTTAAGGGGGAGGGAGCCTTTGTTTCCTCCTCTGTAAAAGCAGCTAGCTCCTTTCAAAGGGTTCTGAGAAAAGTGCACTCAAGAGAGGGGAGCTTTCTATCCTCACCATTTCAGAATTCCCGAAGGGGAAGGGAACACGAGGAGAGGTCATGACAAAGCCAGAGCTTTGTCGTTAAAAGCAATTTGCTGATGAGCCCAGCTGTCTACACTGATGCACAACACTAGCCCGTCATAGTAGGTAAGAGAGCTGGCCCTGAAAGGGGCAAGCCCTGGGTTCAAGTCCAGCCTCTGAGCCATTCTGGCCATGTGAACCTGGACAAGTCACTTCAACCCATGCGCCTCTTGGAAGATTAAACTGAAGAGAAGATGCTGACCTGCATGGGTAAAGAAAATGTCCTTGGTCAGGAGTTCCCTTTATGGATAAAGTCCCAGATGCAGTTCCTCTCCCTGTCCCTATCCTCCAGAGGTTAAGGTTCTATCTGTACATTCATGACATATTGTTGGGGGTCACATCCAGATCCCTGTGTGGGATGGGTTTGGTTAGGAGGGGTCTGTAGCCAGCCACTCCCATGTGCAAAGTATTAGCTTCTATGGAGTTCCCAACCCTTGTCAAACAGGAGAAAGAAAGTCCAAGTGGAAAGGGAGTTTAGATACTTGAAGGAGGAAACCATAGGTCTGAGAAAGGAAACGACTGACCAGCATCATGCAGCTAATAAGTAAAAGAACTAAAATTTGAATTTGGGCTGCCTGGCTCTTTCCACACCACCAGCATGTTCTAAACCTTTTCTGTGTCCTGAACTCCTTTGGCAGTGTAAAAAAGCCTACAGGTCCCTCCACAGAATAATATTTTGAAATGCATAAAATAAAATACATAGTATTGCAAAGGGAAATAATTATATTCATCTACAGCTATTAAAGTATTTGTTTTTAAGTTCATGAACTCCTGTACTTCACTTACATTTGGAGGGTCTATAGTCTTCTGATTACAACACTCAAAGAAAGCAAGGGAATTTAGGAGCACTTTAGGAGACTTTATTTACAGAAACAATAACAGCTTAGCTCAGGTGAGATATTTTTTTAAAACGAATCTTCATTTCTAGGTTAACAGAAATTGTGCTAAGCCACACATTCAACTGGACCTGTGTCGACTGGAATAAGATGGTTCCTGATCCCTGGAATGATAGCCTTTCTCAGAGCTCCAGGACCTGTGTTTGTGCCTCTTCTTAGACCTGCTTTCAGAACGCTCATCTCGGTGGCGCAAGCGCTTTTCAGAGCTCCGGCTTCTGTCCCGATGCCTGCTCTTTTCCCTCCTTCTTCTTTCCTTCCTGTTGGAACTGCTTGAGGACTTCTTATGCCATGGCTTATCCCTCCTCGAATCCCTCCTTGAGGTCTCTGCTTTGTCAAGCTGACCTCGGGAGAGCACAGGTGATCCACTTAAGTATTTACGACTTTCTCGCCGATGTGGACTGGAGCCCTTCTCGAGGCTTACAGTGGCAGATCTCTCAAAGCCAGCACCTTCCTTTTCTTTTCTGGTCTTGTGTCGGGATGCTATGGAGGAGGATGCAGGCATTTCCTGCTTTTCCATACTCATTCTGACACCTTTGTCTTTTTTCTTCCTTTTTTTTTCTTTTTTGTCTGAAAGAGTAATTATATCAATGATGAAGAGGCAGTTCTTCTATCTTCTCTACATACATAGCAAACACAGATATTATGGTTCATGAACAAGCATATTCAGAAGGAAAGTATCCTGGCAGCAAAATCAAGTAGCAAATAAATAGCCTCATTATACTAAGTATCTTTAAGAAGGAGCTTCAGGGGTAGGAAAATTAATATTTCTAATCTTCTTTGTGTTAAAATGATAGACAAACTAAATATACACAAAAGATTAAATGTCTCTGATAAAACTCTAGAAAAGAAAACTCAGGGAAAGGATTAATTATTTAACATATTTGCGAACACTGATGAGAAATGGATTTAGACCAAAATCTCACACCACATACTTCAGTGAACGATGAAAGAATCTGACATTAAATAATGAACTATTTTTTAAGCTATGAAAGAAAATGGAATGAGACGAATTTTTTCCTATTTGACAAATAAAAGGAATCATCAGAGACAAGATGGATGTGTTTGATCACATTAAAATAAAAATCCTTACAACAAAAACAACATAATTGAATGAAAAAAATATTGGAAAACTATGGCAAATATGACAGATAAAACAATATCGATACACACACACACACACACAATGTACAAATGTGTGTGTGTTTGTGTTTAAAAGTCACAGTAGTATCTATACGTGGTCCACAATGGTCGAAATAGGGAAGTTAATAGTCAACTTGGAAAAAAAGTTACCCTTTGAGCTATGAAATGGCACAACCACTTTGGAAAGCATTTTGGAATTATGTAAATAAAATGACTAAGATGTCCCTACTCTTTCAATCAGAGACTCCGTTACTGGGCTTTATACCCCAAGGAAGCCACCAGTAAAAGAAGAAAGTACTCATATAATCTAAAATTTTTATAGCATCACTTTTTGTGATAGCTAAGAACTGGAAACAAAGTAGATGCCCATCAACTAGGGAATGGCTAAAGAAATTGTGGCACATGATGTAATGAAACAGTTCCATGCTGTAAGAAATTATGTACATGATGAATACAGAGAAGCATGGAAAGATTTACATGAACTGATGCAGACTGAATTAAGCAGAGCCAAGAAAACAATATATACAGTAACTACAAAATCAAAAGCGAATGCAACAAAATTATAAAGATCAAGCAAGAATCAAAGAGGTGTGGGGAGACAGCTTCAACTCATCCCTTCATCAAGGTGGGAGGTCGACATGGTTTTGAACTTTTCCAATGTATTAAATCAGTCCTGATTTTTTTTTTCTTCAAAAAAAAAATTACTGGGGCAGCTAGGTGGCGCAGTGGATATAGCACTCAGGAGGACCTGAGTTCAAATCTGACCTCAGACCAAACACTTGACACTTACTAGCTGTGTAACCCTGGGCAAGTCACTTAACCCCAACTGCCTTAAAAAAAAATTACTATTTGTTATATGGGATGGCTCTCTGGGAGGGGAAGGGGGAAAATACTGAGGACAACCTATGATGATGTAAGAAACATAAGACATCGATAAAAACTTATTTTTAAAAAATGTCCCACCTTACAAAAAATCAAGAATATACAAACAAAACAACTTTGAAGTACCACTGCCAATTTGGAAAAATAAAAGCAATGAAACGCAACGCTGAAGAGATTATGGAGAAAGACAGCTCTTGCTTTATGTAAATCCACATTACACAAATATAACTTTACGTAAGTAAAGATTTCTGAAAGAAATCCACATTCCAAAAAAACCTATGCTAACTTTACTGTACAGTACTGTGCGCTCTCTCTCTCTCTCTCTCTCTCTTTTCCTGCCCCTCGGTGCAGCATTCCATATCATCCCATCACTCCACCAAAAAAAACCACCCTCCAAGTGAAAGCAGAAGAACATACCAGCAAAGAGATCACCACCCCTGCCACCAGAGGGGGCTTGGCTTGAGACCTCTGGTGCCCAGACAGGAGACCTTTCCCCCGCTCCCACCCACCTGCATGTCCTGCCTCAGCATGTCTGTCTTTTATCTGTCTGCACCCAGGTACCATGTGCCTGTCCCCTGCCTTCCTTCACATGTCACCCATCTCCTGTCTGCGTCAAGCTCCCACGTGGCTGGCCCTGGCCCTCATGTGTTCATCCTCCTGCTGTCACTTCTCTGTCCCCAACCTCCACTGTCCTTCAACCATGTGCCAGCTCTCTCTCTCCACAGACATGTGGTCCCCACATCCACAGGCAAATGCACATGGTGTAAAAACTGCTTTACACAGAGGTTTGCGGAACAGTCCACTTACATAAAGCAAGAACTGTCTGTACACTATTTCACTGATGGTAATAGAATCAAAAAATGTTTGGAGAACTCCTAGAAGTACGCCATGAAAATTATGAAAACAATCATAACCTTTGTCACAACAATTCCACTGTTGTAAAGATACTCTGAAAGTATGATTAAAGACAACAAAAAAGGAGCTATCTGTTCCAAGATTTTCACAGCAACATATATAATTGCAAAAAACTAGAAGCAAACTGTGTCCCACAATAGGAGATGAGTTAAATTAGACACAAGACATTATTGTAATGGAATGCCCCAATGCAACTAAGACCGATAAATATGAGGATGCAAAATCTAGAAAGAGCTTTATGAAAAAACACAAAGTGAAAAATGATGAGCCAGAAGTACAGAGTAAATAAAAACTGTAACTTTATGAGAGGAAAAGTGGATGAGGATAAATGGACAAGGAATCTTGAGGAAATGACTGAGCAGTCATAACATTTTATGCATTAAAACTGAAATAGGATTATTAAGCAAATTGAATTAGTTATACTGAGACTGAATATTAAGTTGATAATTCAATCAACAAGTAATATACTATGTGCCAGGCACCAAGTGAGGTCCTAGAGACAGAAGTACAAAGAATGAAACAATCTCTACTCACAAGGGGCTGACATTGTAATAGGCGAGACAAAAGGAATATATGGAATACATATAGCATAAATACATAGTCAATAATTACAAATAAATCCAAAGTAATGGAGCACAAGGTAGTTTGGGAGGGAGGGTCCTATCATCTAGGGGAATCAGCAAAGGCTCATGCAGGAGGTGGTGCCTAAAGCTGCATCTTAAAGCAAAAGGACGGTTCTCTGAGGTGGACGGAAGGAGGGAACGAATTCCAGGCATGGGCAATGGCCACTGCAGACAGCTGTTGGAGCGCATGAGGACAAGAGAGGCCAGCAGGGCTGGCTCACAGAATGCAGGAGCTGGAAAGACCAGATGGAGCAGAGTTGACTAGGACTTTAAAAACCAAACAGAGGAGTTTTCTATTTTATTCCAGTGGCAAGAAGAAGCCACTGAAGTTGACTGAGTATGATCATGGTCAGATCTGCACTTTAGGAAAAGTCCTTTGGAAGCCATGTATAGGACAGACAGGAGTGGTTGTGCAGCCCTGGACAAGTCACTTCACTTCTCAGTGCCCTAGGCAATTCTCTAAGATTAGAAGTTGCACACTGGCATTAGTAGAGGGAGTTTCCTCATCTAGGAGTTCCCAATATCAATGAAATCTTAGGTTCAGACCCCTTATCTCTATATAATGATATTAACAATAACAACAATAGCTAGCATTTAGATAGTGCTTTAAACACATCATTTGATCCTCACAACAATCCTGTCAAGTAGAAGCTATTATAATCCCCATTTTGCAGATAAGGAAACTGAGACTAAGGCAAGTGAAGTGACTTGGGGACCCAGTTGTGTGGCTTTGGGAAGAGCACTGGAGTTGGAGTCAGAGGAGCTGAATATGAATGCCAACTCTGCTACTTCTTCCTGCCAATGGAGCCCACCACCCCTACCTGGAGAGTTCCCACAGACCAGGTAATGCCAGAAACTGCAGAAAATACCAAGAACTCGGTGACTCCTTCCCAACAGCTTAAATAAGTGTTGTCCTAAAAAGAACTTGAAATCATCAGGGAAGCATATATGATCAAAATTAACTAGCAAAGCAATCAATCATCAAAGGTGTGTATTTTGGCATCTGAAATTTCACCTTTTTTATGCTTCTTCACAGGCGTCTCATCTTCAGAGGATTCAGATGAACTAGGAGGTGGGGTTTTAACCCCACAGCCCTTCTCCCGGAGCTTTCTGGTTACATCATCCAGATTCCTAGAATCTTTGGGGGGCCTATAATTAGCCACATGGTCCACTCGGATAGTTCTTCCTCTTATCTAGAGCAAGAGTATCGATATCATCAGTTAATATTATCAGTTAGTGCATGATCCTCAAACAATTACCCCAAAGCCCTCTGACCACATCCACTACTCAGGCAATCGACAAGGCACTACATGGTATCAGGGAAAATAATGAGGATTCAGACAGACAAGTAATGAACTATCCTCCCACCTTTAACCTCAACCAGCAAGAAAGAGGTCTGCCACTAAAACTAAGTGCAGAGACCTGGCCAGGGGACAGCTGGCTTTTAGGATTCAAACATTTAGCAAACACTGCTGAGCACAGGAACTGCTCTGAAGAGATATATTAAGATAAAACAGACCCTGTGACCCATGCAGATTACAGTCTAGTAGACAGATCAGACACAAACACTAATACTCCTAAAATTACATAGTAAGTGCATTAGTGATGTCCAAACCAAGTGCTGAGTGAGGTCCTGGGGAAATCAGTTGCCAGTCAGAAAGGAGAGGCATCACCTGAGCTGGGTTCTAAAAGACGAGTGGGAATTCAATCTAACACAATCCAATCCCACAAAGCACCTACTACGTGCAGAACCGTGTACTTGGTGCTGGCAATCCAAGATTCAGCAGGGGAGGGAGGGAACAGCCCAGAAGCACAGAAGTGGGAGAGCATGGGGATGTGCAAGAGACCAAGCAGCCAAATCTGGCTCAAGTGTGGTCTGCAAAGGAGACTGATGTGAGATAAGCCATTATAATGAAAACCAGGGGACAACCCTACCCTCCCTCTTCCTACACTACCATCTTGCTCTGTTCTGACTCTTGGGCCACTGTTTTAATGGACAACAAAAGGAAAAAAGGCTCCAGGCCTATGCAAACAACAGGTCCCCTGCACACACCCCCTTTATCCCTGTGGTTGCTAGCACCCTCAGAGTTTGGCCTGACCTTTGAGACTCCTGGCTTGCTTGATTTCCAAGTTTTTGAAAACCCTCTTTCTATCACAACATTCCCCACCACCACCACTACCACTGTCCCCTACAGTTTCTGCCAATTTCATGTCTCTCCTGTATTCAAAGACCTTGTTACAGCAAGAACCATGCCCATCATGATAACAAGGTGAGCCTTACCACAGGCCAGGGGTTCTTAACCTGGTTCCAGGATCCCCAAGGAGGCTAGAAAGATTTCAAGGGGTCTGTGAACTTGAATGGGAAAAATAATCACATCTTTACCTCAAAATAACTGGTTTCCTTTGTAATTCCACATATTTTCTTTCATGCATTTATGTTCTGAGAAGGGCTCCAGGACACAAAAGAGGTTAAGAACCCCTGCCAGAGGATCACTCTCCATAAAGAGGACCCGAGGACTACTCATAAACACTCTTGTCTTCCTGCTAGTTAGATGGTTCTCTGATCTGCTATGTGTGCTTTCTGGTAGAAAAGACTTTAGGAATCTAGAATGACATAGAGCTGGAAGAAACTTTAGAACAAGTTCATTTAATCCACTCCTCCCACTCCCCATTCTGCAGAGAAGGAAAGTGAGGTGCAGAATGAGTAGATGAGCAGCAAGAAAGAAGAGAAAAATCAAGAAATGATATAGAAGATATATGATAACTTCAAGAGTATTCTACTGACTCATTCCTACTGCCTACAAACATGCTCAGGTCTCCAATATCCTCAAAAATAAATACAAAAACTATTTTCCTTATCCCTTCCATTCCCTCAAATTACCACCCTTTTTACTATATTCCTAACAAGTCTAAACTTACTGCCTCTACTTTCTTACCATCCATTTCTAACTTAACTGCTTGTAATCTGGCTTCTGATCTCATCATATTAATAATTCATTTCTATAGCACTTTAAGGTTTACAACGTGCTTTCCATACATTATCTCAGTTGATCCCAGGGAGATGGAGACTCCAGAGTCACCAATGACCTCTTAATTATAAATGTGGTAGCTGTCACCATTTGTGGCTTTTCTGTAGCATCCTGCACTCTTGCCCAAGCCCTCCTCTCTTGGTCACTCTACTCCCTTTGGCTTCCATGACACTTGTTCTTCTCCTGTCTGATCATTTCTTCTATATCTCTACTAGTTCACCACCCTCTCTCCCTCCTGAGGTGGTTGTCCTCCAAAGCTCTGTCCTAAGTAAGGCCTCTTTGACTCTCTCACACACTCTCTCTCTCAGTCTGATCTCTTCCTATCTCAAGTGTCCCATTATTGCCTCTCTCTCCATATGACTCCCAAGTCTATGTAAATAGCCCCAGTCTTTCCACTAAGCTCTATCCCCACAGTGCTAAGTGGACAGCTCCACTCACATTCCCACCAGAAACTCAAGCTTACCATATCCAAAAAGAAATTCATTGCCTCATCCTCCACTAAACCTACTACTTGACTCTCAACTGCCCCTCTGTTCATTAATAGTACTATCCTCTTAGTCACTCAGGCTTAAATCTCAGAATAATCTTTGACTTGCCCTTCTCCCTCAACCCCAACCACCAAGCTGCAAAGTCCTGACATTCTAACTCCAAAACATTCAACATCCAATACCTAGTAGCCTTGCACATAGTAGGCTTACTGAAATGAATCAATCCAATCTTTATTGCTCACACATGCACTTTCACCACCCCAGTACAAACTCCCATCACCTCTTGACTCAACTATTATAAGAGTCTCCTAATTGGCTACCTGCCAGCCTGTCCCTCTCTAATCCATCTTTCTCACAGCTGTCAAAATAACCTAAGGCACAAACAGGTCTGACTATGTCATCCCACTGGCTCAGAAAAATTTCAATGGCTTCTAGAAGTGGATAGAGTATTGAACTGGGATTCAAAAAGACACGGATTTAAATACCACCTCAAACAGTTTCCAGCTGTGTGAACGAGGCCAAGTCATTTAACCTGAGACTCAGTTTCCTCATTGGTAAAACTAGCATAACAATATCTGCCAGGGTCCCGGGGTTCTTACAAGGCCCCAGTGAGTTCAGATCTATAAAGTGCTTTGCAAACTGTAAAGCCTTATATAAATGTCAGCTATTATGATGACTGAATTCCTCGCCTCGGTATTTATCTGGTGCAAGCCTACATTCCCAGTCTTCTTCCTTGAGTCATGTTTCCTCCTCCCTGCTTCATGGCTTCCATGCCTCCAGCAAATTGGGCTTCGAATATCCTGTAAATGGGCCATATCCTCATAGAACAAACTGCCTGAGAACAAGAACTACACTGTTTTTCATCTTTGTGCCCCCAGGTCTTGGCATAGACACTTGTGTACTATAGGTACTTAAGTTTATAGTTGAATTGGTCATTTAAAAAAATTTTACTTTGAAGACTTCCAAAAATGAACCAGGCCCTGCCCTCAAAGAGATGCCATTCTATAGGTGGAGACATGTATACACATAAGTAGATACACAATAAATACAAAGTTATTTAGGCAGGAAGGACACAAGTGGGGGGGGGGTCCCAAAGTAAGTGTCACTGGAGACATGTATACACATAAGTAGATACACAATAAATACAAAGTTATTTAGGCAGGAAGGACACAAGTGGGGGGGGGTCCAAAGTAAGTGTCAGAGTTGAGTTTTGTAGGAAACAAAGACAGAGATGAGGAAGGATGCAAGAGAATGCCATGAGCAAGGGATGGCAAGAAGACCCAAGAGTGCATGAAGAGAAGTGACATCTAATAAGGCTGGAAAGACAGGGTTAGGGAGCCATACCAGGAAGGGCTTTACATATCAAACGGAGCGTATATCTGATCCTAGTGGTAGGAGAGAGCCACTGGAGTTTACAGAGGTAGGAAGTAACATAGTCAGACCTGTAACTCTGACAGCCATGGAGAGGCCAGGTTAGAGAAGAAAGAGACACCAATTAGGAATCCATGGTAATAGTCCAAGCAAGAGGTGACAGGAGACTGCACTGGGGTGGGAACCAGGAGAAGAGAAAGGAGGCAAATGCCAGAAGTGTTGCTGACATAGAATAGAGCCATCGATTCGATATACGGGGTGAGGGAGAGTGAGGAGCTGAGAATGACTCCCAGGTGGCAAACTCAGGTGAAGGGAAGTAAGGAAGTTCAGAAGGGTTGGTTTGGCAGGTGTGAAGAATGCTCAATTTCGACTCAGAGTACTTGGGTTCAAATCCCAGCTATGCCACTTACTCCCTATACAGGCTTGGGCTTCAGTCACTTCACCTCTCCGGGCCTCAGCTTCCTCATCTGAAAAGTGAGGAGTTTGAACTAGATGAGCTTTAAGGCCCCTTCCGGCTTTAAATCTAGAATCCTATGAAGAAATATGCAAATTGCATGCAGATACAGATTTTGCATATACCACAAAGAAGCCCAGAGAAAATCCAAAGACAAAGGATCACAACCATACTGATAGCTCCCATGCCTCTAGCACTTTCAGGTTTAATAATAGAACAATAAAGCTCACATTTGTAGAGCACTAAAGGTTTACAAAGTACTTCACAAATCTTAGTTCATTTGATCCTGTCAACAACCCTGGGAGGTAGGTGCTATTTCACTGAACCCCATTTTACAGATAAGGAAACTGAGGCACAGGTTAAGTGACTTGCCCAAGTTCACATAACTAGTAAGTATCTGAAGCTAGATTTCAACTCAGGTCTCCCTGACTCCAGGCCTCTTATACACTATAGGTGCTTAATTTGAATTGCATTTGTTATCAAAGTCACAGCTTAAAAAATATTTACTGTGAGGATTGATAAAATGTTTTCCTCACAATGCCCTTGTAAGGTAGGGAGTACAACTATCATTACCTGTATTTTCCACAGGAAAAAACTAGGTTTCACCTCCAGGAAGTAATTTGCCTGAGGCCACAGAGCCAGTACATTTCCGAGATGAGATGTGAATCAGGGCCTCCTGACTCCCAGGCCAGAGCTGTTCCTCCTTCAATGTGCTGTGTGTTTCCCAATCCCTTCTTTGCCCAACACACCAAACATATCAGGGAGGGAGCATGTTGGAACTGGAAGGGGATAATGGGGAGGAGACTGCTTGAGAAGAGAGAGTACATGCAAGAGTGGAAGAGGGCTAGGGAAGAAGCAACAAGTCCCTCGGTTCTGAACCTCAGATAAGCCACTCCCTCTCAAGCCTCAGTTTTTTCATCTGTAAAATCAAGGGTTGAACATGTGCAGCGCAGAGTGCTGGACCTGGTCTCAGGAGACCTAAGTTCAAATCCTGGCTCTAACACTTACTGGCTGTGTGACCTTGGGCAAGGCTACTTTCCACCTGCTGGGGATCTGTTGCCTCTGATAAAATGGAATGAAGATCACCACTACCTACCCTGTTGTGAAAAAAGCATTCTCTAAACTTTGCAGAGCTAACAAAATGGAGGTGGCATTAGTATTAGCTAAAGCCTAAGGTCTCCTTGAACTCTGAATGTCTATGCCTCGACATTTAAGGGCCAGAAAGGCGGCAGGACTCAGCGCCTGCAAGGGCTGGGCCTCAGCCTATCTTCTCCCACTACCACGGGCACACCAGCTCCTTAACATTGTGCTGTAGTTAAGGCACTGGCTGGCAAGGACTGTGGTGACTAAGCAGGTATCTCTAGCACTTCTGAGAAGAACCAAAATGAAGCCTGACCACTTGAAGAGACATACTCACCTTGATCCCATTAAAATTGTCAACGGCCAAAATTGTGCTTCTCTGATCCTCATAGCAAAGAAAACAGAATCCTTTGGATTTTCCAGTCTTCTTATCTCGTACAAGATTAATGTTAACAATTTCGCCATATCTATTGATTTTAAAAAGATTAAAAAATGGGTTAGCTTCAGAGGGTAGGACACTAGGTAAAGCATTTGTTCACACAAAGTAACTCAAGATGAATGTCTCTCAAGGCATGGAGGACTTGAAATCTGTGCCAATCAATCAATAAACATTTATTAAGCACCTAATAGGTGTCAGGCACTGTGCTACAAAAAGAGGCAAAAGATAAGTCTCTGCCCTTAAACAGCTTACAATCTAAAGGGGAAGACAACATGCAAACAAATATATACAAAGCAAGTTATATACAGGACAAATGGGAAATAATTAACAGAGGGAAGACACCAGAATTAAGAGGGGTTGGAGGGGCAGCTAGGTGATGAAGTGGATGGAGCTCTAGCCTTGGAGTCAGAAGGACCTGAGTTCAAATCTGATCTCAGACCAGACACTTTGACACTTACTAGCTAAGAAGCTAGTATCACTGAATTGAAGAGTATGTATTGGGGAGTAAGGTGCAAGAAGAATGAAAAGGTACAAGGGGGCTAAGTTATAAAGGGCTTTGAATACCAGACTGAGCATTTTATATTTGTTCTTGGAGGTGATAGGAAATCATTGGAGTTTAATGAATTTGGGGGGGGGGGTGATTACATGATCTGACCTGTCTTTAGGTAAATCACTTTAGTGGCTGAATGGAGGATGGACTGAAATGGGGAGATAACTAAGGCAGGCAGACCCACTAGCAGCATATTGCAATAGTCCAGGCGTGAGGTAACTTGAGCTTGAACTAAAATGGTGGCAGTGTCAGAGGAGAGAAGGGGGCATATTTGAGAAATGATGACATGGACAAGCCTTGGCAATAGCTTGGATATTGGGGGGGGGTAGTAGTGAGGAGCTGAAAATGATTACTAAGTTGTGAGCTGGGGAGACTGGGAGAATGATGATGCTCTCAACAGGAAGAGGGCAGGGTTTATGGGGGAAGATAATCAAGTTCTGTTGTAGACATAAGTTTAAGATGTCTACTGGACATGTCAGTGAAGGGACCAACCCCACCAAGGAAATCATGGATCCTGAAAACATTTAAGAAAGAAGAAATAAATACTCATCAGTCACCATGGCAACAATAATAACCAAGGCAATCATAGACGAGCCAATTTTGAGTTAGAAGAGACCTTCAAGGCCATCTAGCCCAACTCACTCATTTTCCAGAGGGGAAAACCCAGTTCCCAGAGGGTTCGAGTAACCTACTCCAGATCATGGAGGCAGTCCCCAGAACAGCTGAGATTTGACTCCTCAATCTGACTCCAGCGCTCCTTAAAACACATCTTGAATAGCTCCCCTAGGCCATGGGTGCCATACTCTGCCCCCCCCTTTTTTTATTGGGGGGAGGGGGCCCGGGGAGAGGGAAGGGTAGCAGATATGTGATTTCCTCAGTGGTGATATTTCCTAGTGAGGGAACTTTCTCTGTACCTTCTCTGAAATTTATAGATTTACTTAGAGAATGCCCAGAACACTGAGCCTAAAGCACATGGGGTGACGTGACACAGTCCTATGTCAGAGGCAGAACTAGAACCTACAGCTTCCTGACCCCAAGGCCAGCTCTGGCTGCAGTCCTGTAATTGGGCCTTTTAAGAATCGGATCAGCAGAAAGGCCTGGGGGGAAAAAAAACACTAATATTGTAGAACTCCTTTGTCATGATGGTTTCAAGTAAAGAAATATCATCCTCTTTAAAGGCCAATGGTGTGTTTATTCATGTGTATAAAAATCCATATGGATGGATATAAAAATACACACACAGAATAACACCTCATTTTTCCACCATCCTCAGGAAATGAGGTATTTCGCATAAGTGAATTTCCTAGAAAACCGAAACTTATCTCCTTTTAAGCAACTGATCTGTGTGTGCAAAGGACACCTTCACCATACACAATCTTGTGATTACCACTCAATAGTCCCTGAGCAAAGAGCTGAATGGAGGAAAGAGGTGCTCCCAAGAGGCTGAACTGGGAAGTCCTTCCTCCACTGTGAATTCCCAAAGCTCAGAGACTAAGAAAAGCCCCTGAGAAAGAACACCTCTTCCTTTCCATCCCTCCTGTATGGTTCTGCCCATGGGGCTTCCCAAATCACTGCTGCTGCAGTGATGGACATTTCACTAACTCTTGGGAGTTTACTAAGTGCTTTCCTCGTAGTCCCAGAATGGGAGAGAGGCAGTTTCAGTGTCCCCATTTTACAGAAGAGAGCCAGAGAAGTGAAGGTACTTGCCCAAGGTCACAGCTATGAAGAGCCCAGACTCAAACCTGGGGCTCCTGACCCAAGATGCTGGCTAACTCACCTGATTATTCTCCCCGGTGCTGGCCTGTGGTTCACTGAGGAAGAGAGCGGACTTGCTCATCAGCACTGCTAACACCCAATGGTGGGGACAGAGCACTGGCTCTAGGGTCAGAAGACCTGTGTTCAAACGCCACATCTGATGCTTACTACCTGTGTGACCTTGGATAAGTCCATTAACTGCCCTGGACATCAGCTTCCTCAACTGCAAAATGAGTGTATTGGACAGGATGGCATCTGAGAACTTTTCAAGTTCTAGCTCTCATCCTTACCCAGGAACTAGTCCAACATTTAAATAAATGCATCTTGTTCATACCAACTCAGACAGAAGGTAAACTATTCTAAGATGAATACGATACTGCATATTGGAGAAACAAAGCAATACAGGTACAGAACGAGGTAGCCTTTGGCAGACGTGGTCAATGTGCTCATTTACTTTGCTTAGCTGTACTTTGTTTCAAGGGAGAGTTCTACTGGGGTAAATGGGGAATAAGTGGGAAGTGACAGCAACGGAAAAGAGTGTCAATAAGATATCTAACAATTTTTAATGAATATGGTAAAACCTTACTAATCTGAAGCAATGGGAGCAGTCTGAATCATAGTATATTTTTGTATGTTTCAGCTGCCAAAGTGATTTGCCTAAAGTACAGATCCAATCATATCACTCCTCTAACTCAATAAATTCCTATGGCTCCACGATTAAATACAGAATGCTCTGTTTGACATTCAAAGCTCTTCATAATCTAGCTCCCTCCTACCTTCCCAATCTTCTTATACCTTGCTCCCCATGTACTCCTTGATCTTGTTACACTGGCCTCCTGGCTGTTGCATGTCCAAGACGCTCCATCTCTCTGCTCCAAGCATTCTTTCTGGCTGTCCCCCATACCTGGAATGCTCTCTCCCTCCTCAACCTTGCCCACTGACTTCGCTGGCTTCCTTTAAGTCCCAACTAAAATGCCATCTTTTGCAAGCAGCATTTCCCATCCCTCAATTCCAGTGTCTTCCCTCTGTTAATCATTCCCTATTTACCCTGCACAAAGCTTGTTTGTGCAAATTTGTGTGTCGTCTCCCCCCTTTAGTTTGTGAGCTGTTTAAGGGCAGAAACTGTCTTTTGCCCCTTCTCACATCCCTAGCACTTAACACAGTGCCTGGCATCTTGTAGGCACTTAATAAATGTTTAGCTTTTTCCTGCTTTCCGGGAGCCAAAATGTCTAAGCGAGGACGTGGTGGGTCCTTGGGAGCAAAGTTCCAAATTTCCTTGGGTCTCCTAGTGGGAGCTGTCATCAATTGTGCTGATAATACAGGTGCCAAGAACCTGTACATTATCTCTATGAAGGGGATTAAGGGGAGGTTGAACAGGCTTTCTGCAGCTGGTGTGGGTGACATGGTAATGGCCACAGTCAAAAAGGAAAAACCAGAACTCCAGAAGAAGGTTCATCCAGCAGTGGTAATACGGCAACAGAAGTCGTATCGGAGAAAAGATGGTGTGTTCCTATATTTTGAAGACAATGCAGGGGGTCATAGTAAACAACAAAGGCGAGATGAAAGGTTCAGCCATCGCAGGGCCTGTTGCCAAGGAGTGTGCTGACTTGGGCCCAGGATTGCATCTAATGCCAGCAGCACTGCTTGATTCTCCTAAAGCCTATTTGTAAGAAAAGCCTCATTAAAGTGTCTGCCTATAAAATAAATAAATAAGTAAATAAACAAACAAACAAATAAATAAATGTTTGATGATTTATTACTATTATGAAGTGATCTGTCTTTACTGCCAATGAAGTCCTCCTCTGATACCTCACTGTGCTAAGTGGGCTTCTCAAAGGATATTCTGGCAGAACACAGCTTCTGCTAAGTCCTGCCAAGCTAGAAAGACTTTGAGCTTTCCACTTGAAGTCATTCTGAGTCTACAAGTCCTTACCTACCTGGCTGCTGGGGGAAGCTGAGTCAGAGTACCTCAAAGACAATCCACTGTAAAACAGGGACAACAATGACACTTGCAGACTGTGAAGCTTTGTAAACCTCCAAGTACTAGAGAAGTGTGGGCCGTACCACTAAGGAGTTGGGGAACTGTCACCAGCATGAGGACAGAGTGAGCACACAGACTACTAAGCAATTCCAGGGTCCCAGAGGTCTAAGTCATGACTTTGCATGCACTTCTGATGCATTTATCAAGCAGGGACCAGACATGGACCCTTCCAACTCAGACTCTAATTCAAACTCAAGCTGACTGCTAACAAAGTATGGTTGAGTCTTTGTAAAACAGACTGGCACAGAGGACCCAGAGCTGGCCTCAGAGTGAGGATGCCATGAGTTCACCATACACATACGGTTGTGTGACCTTACACATATCCAAGTCACTTGACCACTCAGTGCTCCAGGCGGCTCTTGAAGACTAAGTTGCAGAGTAGAAGCTGATCTGTATCAGTAGAAGGTTCCCCACCCAGGATCATTACACACCAGTAAAATCACTGCCCTAGACCAAAAAATACTTATTCGTAAAACAAAATAAAAACAAAACAAAAACAAAAAACCACAACTCACATTAACTGACATGACCAACAAAATGAAGAACTAGACATTTTTCCCTAACCCCCATGACTTCTCAAATCTCTCTAAAATCTAACTTATGCACCAAACAGAAAGTAATTTCAGCTGTCCCCATGGTCTAGGACACCTAGAATTCAAATGAAGGAAAAAAGCCTCTATGA